CCCCTTGTCCTGTCCCTCCATCCCTTGTCCCCAGTCCCTCTCCAGCTCTCCTGGAGCCCCTTTAGGCCCTGGAAGGAGCTCTCAGGTCTCCCTGGAGCCTTCTCCTCTCCAGGAGAACCCCCCCAGCTCTCCCAGCCTGGCTCCAGAGCAGAGGGGCTCCAGCCCTGGGAGCATCTCTGTGGCCTCCTCTGGACTCATTGCAAGATATTTCCTGCATTGGGTCACACCAACAGAGCCATGGAACACACCTTTAGTGATAACCAAAACTCTCCCATCACCACAGTAAAAAAGAACAACTTTTCCTGATATTATTCCTGACATTAATCCCTAAAAACTCAGCTCCAACACACCCTGATCCACAGATTTCCACGTGGTGTGGAGGAACAAGATGGGAAGGAGAACGTTTCAGCGGAGATGGATTCAATATCTGATCCCTGAAGGAAAACCTTCTGGCACTGGACACTTGGAACTGTGTGAAAAATCCAGCATCACCCAACCCAAACTGCCTTTTGGGGTAAAATCTGGGCCTCCCCTTCTCCTCATAACAAGGGGCACGGGAATTGAAACAAAATTCCTCCAACTCAACCCTGAGAGGTGACTAAAAAATTCCCAATACCTTTGCATCTGGTTTCCTGCTGTCATCCAGTGTCCCGAGTTCCTCAGGTCCCAGAGAAAACAAGGCCTCTGGAATGGGAAAGAAAAACATCTCTTTAAAAAATACAACATCTGGGGAAAAGGGGACAAGGGGGAAAAAGGAACAAGGGGGAGAAAGGCGGGAGAGAAGGACTGGCAAATATCTTTTTCGGGAATTGTAGTGATGGGATTAATAAAATTACCAATTCTAGACTGCAATAACCTCATTTATTTACACAAATTGCAACTTGTAAGAAAACTCAATGTTTCTAATACTTAAATTTTGTGCCAAACTCATTTAACAGCCCAACATCCTGGAATAATTTACTGGAAGTGAACTGTTCCTGAAAACCAACTTGAGTTCCCCGTGTTTCATAAATATCCAGCAATGAAAGTCTCCCTAAAGTATTGCCCCAAATATGATTTTAAAGGTGGTTTTGAAGCCTTTACCTCTAAATTCTGGTGTGAAAAGCAGAGTCTGCAGCAGGGAATTGAGGTAGCAGGTCCCACCCTGGTTTTTGATCCCGCTGAGGTTGGTGAAATCCCTGGGAGCTGGAGGTTCACACTCTCTGGGCTTTGATGTCTTCCCTTTTCCCCAGTGATTGTTGGAAATGAAGGAAAAATCCTCGTCGAATAAGTCCCCAAACATTGTGAAGGCAAAAGAGGCCTTGGAAAAAAAAAATTGCAACAGGAGTTATTTGCTATTAAAAGGGCAATTGAATCCACTCAAATCCTCAAAAATAAACCTATGTTTGTATTTGTTTTCCATTTTATTCTAAAAATCCACGTCAGATCCATGCAAAAAAAAGTAAATTAATGTAAGAAAAAAGGGGGAATTAAAAGCATTTCTGTTCCCATGGGTCTGAACAGAACCAAACACATCCCAATTCAGTTTGGCCCCAGCAAAAAGCACGAGTATAGCAAAATAAATAAGTCCTTTTAAACATCCAGGATTTAGGAGTGCTCAAGTTTCCTGCAAGGAAAAACAGGGAAGGCCTCTCCAGCTCCTCCAAATCCCTCAGAAATCCACGTGCACCTGTAGCCTGCCTCTGGAATTGGCCAGTTCACATGGGGAGAGTGGAACAAACAGTCAAAAATCCAGTGACATTGTAAGAAAATTATATATTTGCTTCCAGCTGTTTGAGCCAGAAACTCAATGGTGACTAATTTTTCTTATGGGATTCTTTTTGGAAGCATCTCAGCTTCCAAAACTTGCTCCTTTTGCTCTGGATTTGTCAGCCCACAATTCCCTTTGGTGTGTGTAGCACCAGCAGTGAGTAATCCCTGAGTTATTCTGGAGCAGGGAATAACCATTCCCTAATTTACCTTCAGCCCACGTGAAGTTTGACACACCTTGACCATATTCCACCTCTTCCAAAAGCTTCCAGAGAGCTGGATTTAACCTACAACTGGACTTGTCTCCTACCTTAATAATTAATCTTTAATTTAATCCACCTCCTCCACACCCTTTAAACTTCTCCTTTACCTCTTTGAGAGCATAAAGACTTTAAAGGCCAGGCTGGAGCAACCTGGGCTAGTGAAAGGTGTGATGATCTTTAAGGTCCCTTCCCACCCAAACCATTCCATGCTCCAGCCCATTTCAGCCCTTCCCACAGAAGTGTTTAGGGAAAAGCTCTGCTGGGAACAGCCCTGCTCGTTCTGGAATGTTCTTTCAGCTCTTCATCCGAGAGAAATCCCCCTACAAACCCTCACAGAATAAAACAACGTGGCTAGAGACACTTTCTGATGAAAACAGAGAGGGAACAAATCCCTTCCAGAGCTTTGCATCGGCTCTTAACCCAGGACTGCCTTAAAACCTCTGGAGAGGCCCTGCCTCCTGAGCTTCCAGAGGCAGTTCCTAGGTTCGGAACTCCTTCCAAAGTGTCTCACAGCCCTCATTCCTTTTTCCAGTCGGGCCTGTTGCACTTCAGCCCCTGTTCTCCCGATCTGAATCTCCAGCAGCTCGTTCCCAAGAGGAATGTTCATCCAATCAGGTACAACTCCAGGAGACACCCCCACCCACCACTCCAGGAAAGCACTTCAGTGCCAAATCCTCCCTCGCTCCTTATTTCTGGAGCCTCCAAGCACTGCTGCTGGCAGCCTCCTTCCCTTGGATCCACACAGGAATATGGATTAGAAGGAATTCTGGAGGAGGTCTCTGTTCCAAAGCAGGGCCAGCTCAGAGCACACCGTGTGCCACTGCCAAGGCTGGAATAAATCCATGGCAGGAGATCCCAAATCCATGAAAGGGATCCCCAAAGCTCTACAATAAATCCAGGAAGGAGATCCCATACCCTTCTAATAAATCTATGACCAGAAAACCTAAAAATCCCTCTGGTAAATCCATAAAAGGAAATCCCCCAACCCCTCTGAGAAATCCATGACAGGAGATCCCAAAATCCCTCCAACAAACCCAGGACAGAAGATCCCAAAATCCCTCCAACAAACCCACAACAGGAGATCCCAAAATCCCTCCAATAAACCCACAACAGGAGATCCCAAAATCCCTCCAATAAACCCACAACGGGAGATCCCAAACCCATGGCAGGAGGTGACAAACCCCATGAAAACCATCCCAAACCCCCCTAATAAATACCTAACAGGAGATCCAAAACCCTCTGATAAATCCATGACAGGAGATCCCAAACCCCTCTGATAAATCCATGACAGGAGATCCCAAACACATGAAAGGGATACCCAAACCCCTCCAGTAAATCCATGGCAGGAGATCCCAAACCCATGACAAGAGATCCCAAATCCATGACAGGAGATCCCAAACTCCTCTGATAAATGGGATCCTCAATTCCCTCTAATAAACCCATGACAGGAGATCCCCAAACACACGGCAGGAGATCCCAAAACAAATGAAACGGATACCCAAACCCCTCTAATAAACCCATGACAGGAGACATCAACCCCCCCAATAACCCCACGACAGGAGATCCCCCAAACCCCGCAATAACCCCATTCCAGGAGATCCCAACCCCCCGCAACAACCCTAAACCAGAAGATGCCAGAGCCCTGCACCAAGACTGTGCCAGGACATCCCAAAGCCCCGTACTAATGCCGCGATAACCCCAAAAG